GCTACCAGAAGATCATAGAATCATAGAACTCTAGAAACGGAAGGGATCTTAAGAGATCATCAAGTTCAGTCCCCTGCCCTCACGGCAGGACCATCTACCATCTAGAAAGATCATCCCTGTCAGGTGTCTATCCAACCTGCTCTTAAATATCTCCAGTGATGGAGGTTCCACAAACCCCCCTAGGCAATTTATTACAGTGTTTCACCACCTGACAATTAGGAAGTTTTTCCTCATGTCCATCTTAAATCCTTTATAAATATTAACCAAGATAGTCAAGCACTACTAGCTCCATTTTATAGACAAGGGACCTGAGGCATAGGAAGATTAAAGCCCCAACTCTGCGATGGAAGTTGACCCATGTGGAGCTCACTGCAGGACTGCAGACTAAATCATGTGTCCATGAGCATGCAAAACCTGTGGCAGGAACTGGGAACAGATCTTGATTTACTGATACCCAGTGGCATGCCTTAATCACAAGGACACCCACCCTCCCCTAGACGGCTGCGTGCGCTATGGGGTGGAAAGCTACTTTAAAGTTAGCCTTGTTTTCCCCCTTGTTAATACCCAGAAAGTGAAAGCATCAACAAACCACAAAAACAATCTTTAAAAAAAAAACTGGTGGCAGAGAATAACTCTAACACTTTCTGAGTGCATTTCATTTGTCATTACAGTGTGTAAATTCTTTTATTAGGCTTGCAGGAAAATCAATCTGGCCACCAATTTCCGGTGGCTCAGTATAATTTCCTATATGCAAATTACAAATGGATAGTGTACAAGGGGTCAGAGGTCTCTAGTGCCACCAGATTTTCATCAGCCCACTTTACCCAGACATATGAAACAAGAGCGTGCAGGTGAATGACTGACACACGACTCTACTACCTGCTGGCTGATGAAGCTTCAGTTTTTCAAGAGAAAACTTAAGAGATATTTTGAGAGAAAAGTCAAAGGCTTAAATAATCTGTCTGACACCCCATTTGGGTGTGCAAAGTAAACATATAGCTTGCCCAGACTTTCTTTATTCATTTTTAGGATAAAGTTTTCTAGTGTATGTGAAACTATCAGTTATTCAGTTTGGCTGTGTGACTGGGGTTCCCAGAACTCCACTGAGCTGATCATAATGCTGCCATTGTGGGTGTATTTGAGAAGCTGCATTTTCTAATTTATTTTTGATAATTCAATAAACTGATCAAAACAACAGGAAGACGTTAGTGCTTTAAAATGTTATTTTATAAACATGCAGAAGTGATTATGAAACAGACACTAAAGCTGACAGAACACACCCGGAAAACTGAGAGGTTTGAGAGAGGGGCATGTCTAAAATTATAGAATTTAATGCTTTCCTATTTTTAACTGATTATCTTGAAATAATATATTCTTTACACAGCAAACTCACTAAGGAGGATTTTATTTCATTTACATTTATTTATTAAGGCATATTCATGATTAGAATTGAAATACGCAGAGGCATATTTTAGAGTGCGCACACACTTCTCTCTCTCTCTCAGCTTGGACAGAGTGGCTGATGTGTTTTTCTTTCTGTTTGCCAGTGAGACTCAACATTCATTCCAGCCAACAAACAGAAAATCTACACTATAATAATTTTTTAAAAATTTTAAATCAAAGCCTTAGTAATAATCTTAAAGAGGATTTTAGAGTCACTCTGGTCTCTCGAGTAGATACATAATTAAGTAGGGTTTTTTAAGCATGTTTAATTAGGCCCCAAGTCCCTCCTTATCCACCCTTCTCTCCCCAATTATGTATCATTTCCCCAGGAGACCCAAGTGGCTCTGTTAATTATGTAAATAAGATGTGCACTATTCCCAGGAAGAAAGTTATAAATATTTGTGGAAAAATAATGCTCATCTCTTAACCGTTAAAAAAAATTTAAATACCAAAGAGTATTGGCCTCATCCACAAAATTTCATTAAAATTCTCTTATTTGCCATAGAATAATGAAAAAGCTACATATATCAAATTACTATTTAAGAAAATACAACAAAAGTGAAGAAATTCTAACAAGGTAGAGTAATTCACTACTGAACTATAATAGCTGTACTATGGTTCAACTGGGATCTATGCTGTTGTGTGTTTTTTTTAAATAGGTAATACATACCAAGCCCGGAAGAAAGGATTTTATAATCAAAATGCTGACACAAACTTACCCACAGTACCACAAATAATGCTGCTAGAACTAATATAATCCAATTATGCCCTCACAAAATGCTAATTTGATTATTTTTGCAGCGTTATTTGAAAAGGCATTTTAATTTTTAGGTTAAAAAAAGGCTTGACTCAAATATAATTCTCTATTAATCACCAATGTGTCACGGCATATCATATTGATACATTTCCCAATGATTATAAAAATGACTAATATGTACAGTACAATTTCCTTCAAATGTTACTGATTTTCATTACACACCTGCCAAACGCATCAGTGTTAAATAGATGAAAAGACAATTTTAATTCTAGTCAGCTCTAGCACATACTAGAGCAGGAAAAATAGTAAACCGGGATTAGAAGGTTGCGGAATACTTTTTCCATTCACCGATTTATCAAGACCTCCCTCATATCTAGCCCAAGTCTCACTCGGGCTTTTACAGGATACAAGACATCACCTTTTGGGAATGGATCATTTCCTCTAGTGCAGGAAAAGTTTTTTACCTTGCTGCGTACACAACAGCAGTTGGAAGCATGTCATAAGATGTTCAGAACCAGTCAGCAGATCAGAATCCAATGACTCAGGAACACTGAAATACAAGCTGCAGAAAGAGACGGCCATTCTCCTGCTACTGCTGGCAGCAAGGCACCAAATAATTATGTCAGAAATAATTCTCTCAAACAGTGAGTTTGCTCTGATGAATGCAAGATAACAAACAGGCCGTTGACACTACGTATACTATGGTCTAAGAGCTACAACTCCACAGAGAAATATATAGAACTCCATCTCGCTATACGTAATTTGAGTAAACCTATTTTGTCTATGTTAAAAATACTTGACAGAAAGTGAACATTTCCCACCAAAACAGTAGTGAAGCTCAGACTTGACACTCCCTACTGAAACCCCCACTAACTAATCCAGCAGACAAGAGCTACACTGCCATCAGTCATTTTTTCAGAACGATATGACACCGACCGAAGAGCCTAATGTTTATATTTTTTCAAGCTTTCCAGGGTTTATGATAAACAAGGAAATTGTTAAAACACAGGGTGGCTCTCTACACAGAAGAGGCAATTCTTGATTTAGATCTAAGTAACACCTGGTAGTTCACAATATAATTGTATTTGCATCACCAAGTTGGCTTTACAGGCAGACTGCAAAGCCTACTTATTTGAGCTGGCACTGTGGAGGAACTGAGGTAATGGGGGAAAGATTTCTGTCTCATGAGGAAAGAGATTTTTCACATATATTGGGGTTTACTGCCTGCTGATTTGGTGAGGGGTGCTGTGTAAAAGGAAGTGCTGTTAGGTTGGGTGAGTTATATCTTGCATTTCTTATTATACTATTTTAAAACGTACATCAAAGGGCACTGCTCAAAACCTAAATCAATATTTATATTGTGTTCACTAATACTTAAGGCTGCAAGCCTGGGGATGGAATCAGAACAGACCAGCACAGTGACAGCCTCAGAAGGCATTTGGGATGGATGGGTGGGCAGAAGCTCTGAAAAGCAAAGCAACTCCTGGAGTTGAGAAGACTCAAGACTGGACTGGATGGTATGATCCAAGATGGCATCTCCTAGGTTTCTGTTGAGCAAGTGGCCTGTACATTGCCAGAAATCAATGACCATTTGAAAGGTGCTATTTCTGCTCTAACACCAGGGAGAGAAACGGCTGCTGCACAGTGCGGGAGAGACAGATGCCCTTGCCTGATGAATCAAGTGTTGTGTTAGCTGTAGGGGTTTAAGTGATATAAAACGTAAAGTGCATCCTTTGGATCGACTCACTTTCTCCTCACACCCAAATACCGTTTCAAGCAGGATTCAACAGCAGCTGTCTCAGAAATGAGGACAGCTAGACACTGCGCTCTGCAGCCCCTTGGACTACCTTGGATTAGAGATCCCAGAAGCAATGTACAGATCCTGCCAAAGTGGAAGCTGAAGTTTCTGCAAGATTTGTCAACGGCAGCCCGCCACTCGGGCCCTATTTTAAACTCAGATCTCTCCAGCTAGCCTCAAATGGGAGGAGTGCCACAAGATCATCTGTATGAGTGAGAGTTCTAATCACGCTCTGTTCAGCCTCCAGGACCATGCAAACCATTCCTCCTCCCAATAGCCACTGGAGATGCTGGGAAGTGGGAATGTTCTAAGAGAGAGAGAGGACTGCTAAGAGAGGCTGATGCCACCCCCTGCTAACCAATACAGACCTTCATGATAGGTGGGGAAGAAGTGAAAGATCACACTTTTCTAGCTCCCAGATGGCAGCAGGCAGAGAAGGGCACCCCCCTGGGGGAGAGCAGGATGAAATTTCCTGTCCTGGGGGACTTTCAGCAAGTCACTTTGTCTCCATGCCTGTTTCCTATCTCTAAACTGGGGGTGGCAGCACTTCACTACTTCCCTGGGGTGATGTGAGGATAAACATACCGACAACTGTGAGCTACCCAGATACTATGGAGAAGGGGCTAGATTTTCTAGACAAACAGCCGACTGACTCCCATGGATCTGCCACCAGCTCAGTAGGGAGAAGACACCTCAGACTCAGCTGCACCAAACATTTTACTTGAATGACGAGACGCCAAAGGACAGACACGAGCCCAGGAGATAAGGGCACAGCCTACATGCCATTTATTTTATATTTTCATTTGGCTCCTGCTGCTATTAACTTTTAGAACCATTCCAAGGGAGACAAAGAAGAACCAGTTTCAGGCTAGCCAATTTAAAACACTGAACTGTAGGGCTGCTATAATGTTTAATTAAAGCCCAAACAAATATCTGCACATTGCAATTTAGTAAGAGCAGATGAGAAGCCAGCTCTAGGTCAGAGGGAAATGGTTCACTTACCTTGCCATCAAATTTTGAGTATTCGTTGAAAGGGTTGTTCAGCTGCAGTGGGCACTGCTCGAGTCGCACCGCCAGCAGCGACTGCTTCCCAGAGTGCGGACACTTTACTCGGAAATTCTTTTTTTCAAACAGCGAGCTGAGCTCCTCTGCTGTGATTCAAGGAGAGAGAGAAAAGCACGTGCATTACCACATGCACAAAGGGGATCACGTACTCTGGAGAGGCGATGAACTGGGAAGAGTGAGGGAGACAATGAACAGGCTAGACAAGACAGATAGGATGAACAGCAACCCCCAGTCTCACTACAAAAGGGCAATGGGACACACATAGGCAGGTGCCAAATTCAAAGCTGAAAGCTTCCTCACACAAGTAGCCAGTAGAACTCTCTGCTTGCTATAGGAGCTTACTGGGGTTAAAAAGAGGTTAGGCATTTCTCTCTCCTCTCAGCCCTCAACCAACTTGCCTACACAGACTGCAAGCATGCTACGACAGGAACCACCTCTCCCTCTAGGGGCCTAATGCAACAGAGTGCCATTGGTGGGGGTCTTTAAGTGCTGCTCTAACACAAATAAGAATAATATGGATATCAAGAATACCCAGCATTAATCAGTTTTCTGGCACATCCCATGAGGATGGGATGTCCTCTTGGCAGACTGAGCATCACCCGAATCTGTTTCTGGCCAGGTGCTCACGGTCCTACCCATGCGATCACTGAGCACGCAGTGGCAGCTCCATGGCTCACTTGCTTTGGATTGTGTTGGTGTTCCATTCTAACAACGTACATGCCAAGAACACCACTAAAGACACCCCATGCACTGATGGGTGGTAGCTGGGTTCAGCCTCACAGATCCTCATTTCTGATCTTGTTCTGCTCTTGATATGGAGCAGCTGACCAAGGTGATGAAAATAAAAAATGTCAATCCAGTGTGCTTTAGTCTTCCACAGCACCCATGTTTCATTCCGTACAATGAAGCCGATATAACCAACATTCTATAGATTTGCAGCTTCATAGCAGGCTGAAGGCCAGGACTATCCTACCAAATTCAGAGTCAATTTTGGTCAATTTCATGGTCATAGGATTTTAAAAATAATAAATTGTAAGGATCTGGACACAAAAAGGAGTTGGGGGGGGATCACAAGGTTGTTGTAGGGGGGTTGTGGTAATGCTACCCTTACTTCTGTGCTGCTGCTGGGGCAGTGCTGCCTTCAGAGCTGTGTCCCCAATCAGTAGCTGCCACTATCTGACCACTCAGCTCTGAAGGCAGCAGTGCAGAAGTCAGGGTGGCATGGGGTGGTATTGCCATCCTCACTGCTGCTGGCAGGATGCTGCTTTCAGAGTCAGGTGCCCAACCAACAGCTGCTGCCCTCCATCTGCTCTGCTCTGAAAGCAGCATAGAGGTAAGGGTGGCAATACTGTGGCCCTTCTAAAATAACCTAACAACCACCTGCTGCTCCCTTTTGGGTGAGGACCCAATTTGAGAAATGCTGGGTCTCCCATGTGAAATCAGTGTAGTATAGATACGAGCACACAAAAGGCCAGATTTCAGTTCATGACGTACTTTTCATGGCTGTGAATTTGGCAGGGCACTAGCCATGACATTCCAACAGGGGCTGCTGAAGGGCCCAAAACATGGCAGCATATACAAGTGGATCCACATATTTGGAGTATCCCCGAGCACTGTCTAGTATGCTCCCCAAATATCTGAAAACTGTCCCCTGCTCAATGTCTTGTCCAGGTTAACACTGAGCTGGCTGTATCTGGAGCTACAGGCACATAGCTCCAGATGGCAATAGCTCAAGACTTGAGTTTATTCAGAGTTATAAATGCAGGCAGTCCCCGGGTTATGTACAAGATAGGGACTGTAGGTTTGTTCTTAAGTTGAATTTGTATGTAAGCCGGAACTGGCGTCCAGATTCAGCCGCTGCTGAAACTGATCAGATTCAGCCACTGTTGAAACTGGACGCCAGTTCTGACTTACATACAGATTCAACTTAAGAACCCCAGGCATCCCCAAGTCAGCTGCTGCTGAAACTGATCAGCGGCTGATTCCAGGAAGCCTGGGGCAGGGGCTTCCTGTAGTCAGCCACTGGTCAGTTTCAGCAGCGGCTGACTTGGGGACACCTGGGGCAGAGCAGGTGGGGTGCTGCTGGGTTGGTCCAGTAGCGCTGCCACTCCTCGGCGCTATTGGACCAACCCAGCAACACTCCAGCTGCTCTGCCCCAGGTGTCCTGATTCAGCCGCTGCTGCAACTGATCAGCCGCTGCGCAATCAGGACA